AAAAAAAATACATTGACCGGCTGAATTAGGAATACATAAGAATCGAATGAATGTTGACCCCCTCTCTATTGTCACCCTTCCCTGATGTGATTCGTTTATTATTTTGTGAATAATCTTATATCATTCGATAGAGAAATGTTGGCTCTATCTCGGAAAGAAACAATGACTTTTCTACGATATGTGTAACTCGAGTTATAAAAGAAATACAAAAGATATCTTTTTTACCGGCAGAATTAGGTCACCCGACTCTAATACTTTTATATCGAAGTATGAAGCGCGACAATACAAATGACTCGTTTACGGTGTCGCACAAAGTTGTTCTTCTCAAAGTTATAAACCGTGTTAACTATCTATTCTGTAATTATTGAAAGATTATTAGCCATCTGTTACACAATTCATTACTTGCAGTCACTGAGAAATATGTTCACCAACTAACGGTTGATGTTGGTAGGAAAAGTTCGACTTGTTGTTTTTATTTTAAATGCAGGCATTTATCTGAAAATATAGAGACTAGCAATTGCCAATGAATACGCTACTATCTTAGACAACAAATGCATATAAATCGTTTCAAGTATTTCCATTCTTGATGGCCTTGCTTCCGAAAGTTCTAGCTAAGTTTTGTATGTAATAAATGCTTGTTCAGTGCTTCTAGCTGCTAAAAAGAATCACCCATGTCTATCAACATTTTATGTCATCTGGTTTTAATGGACAAACTAGTGCTAATGATGTGACGAAAACAAATCCTTGTATAAATATCTAAGATTAATCTTCAACGCATAGGCTTTCAACCACTCGGCTAGTGATTTTAAAACAGCTGACTGTATATAAAGGTCTTAGCAATGATCATCGAGTCCTAATATACCAAGGAAAGGGAAATAATGGATAAAGCGAGAAAGAAAATATAAGATAAAATAGCGACACTAGCAAGAATGATAGTCTAAATATGATGACGGAAAAGGCAAGACAAAGTTAAAATATCATCAATACACAATTATTCAAGCTAACATAAGAAGTGAGAATCGATCGTGATATACTAGAGAAAAATCGATACAGTTCATTGAGTAAAATTTGTTGTGAAATTTCTGATCTGGTATTTCATAAGGTTAGAGTCTTATTCAACAGTTAGCTAACTAGGCTGCACTAAGTCTTAGAATGAATCGAAATCAGCTTGGCAATGATTATTTAAAAGAAGAAAAAAATAGCTGCGGATTCATATAAATATTTGATTGCTCGTAAAATAATCGTAATTTTTTTATTTTAATGGATGATCATAGATAACCATTATAACAAGATTTATCGGGATCGTTTGTAAGCCTTGTACGGTATTTTCAATGAAAAAATAGTTTGTATACAAAAATATCATCTCACCACTCATGTAATATATAATTCTGATTAATGGAGTTGCGATAAAATGTTTATGTAACTCGTAGTTTCTTCAAAGCAATCGTAGGAATTGATTATATCTCTCTGCTGGCATGAAAATTTATAAGAAATTCAATGAAACAGCCAGAATATTTTTCTAATTTCTTTCTCGTGTTAATTTAAAAAAAAACAGAATAATGTGAATCATAAATCGCTGACATGAAGTCTCTTAGACTTGCTGATCACATTATGAAACAATTTTTTTCACTCAAAATACAATTCCAAATCTAGGTTTTTTTCTATGCTGGAAAATAAGAATAGTATAGACTTCTCTGGCTTTGAACGCCGTTAATAGCTCATAAGTTTTATTTGTTAGTCAGCCCTTAAATTTGATTGGAACATGTAGAATGTTATAAATTACAAGACGCACGCTTTCATTCACAGTAAAACCAAGCATATATATTAAATTTTCTATTGTTTAATAGCAATCAACTGATAAGAATCCAGTTTATCATAGAATTACGTAAAAAACGATTTAGCTAATTTGAATAAAACAAACAATCATACTTCAAGAATTATTGATCGAGTTTAAGCTAGCATGAAAGTTGCTTGTATCGTTTTTCTTTTATTTTTAAAATCACATTAAACAATGACACATTGGAAACAATAACCATACAATAGATTTAGTCTTTTTTACCAGTTGATTCTTTCGTAGCTTCGATTGATCTTTTTGATCCTGGAATATTTTCTCGAAATGCCACAAATAAAAACGTAATCAATACAATATGAACAACAATAACAGCGACAACCGCTGAATATGTATAACTATTACGACTAGATACATTAAAGAAACCTTCAAACACGTAATCTTTTGCAATAAAAAATGATGCTAAGGGTGCAATTGTCATTAGTAGCGTAAAAAAAAGCATTTTACCAAAGACTATCCATACAGCTGATTCATTATAATTATCTTCATATTGAACAGGTGCTTCAGCAGTGTTCGTCGGTTGAATAGCCGATGTTCGTTGCATCTAAAACAATGAGCAAACAAATTTTCTTCTATATTATTGTAGCTTGAACGCATCATAATATGCGCATTTGTGTTTGAGAAAGTCATGTGAACTGCAAGATATATTGAGTAGTTATGGTAAGAACTGAAAAAAAAATGTTGATCATATCTATGAATAATACAAGGTCAATTTTTTACACGAAGCAATAGTTCGAAACGAGCGTTTTTTTTGCCACGTCGTCTCTTACAGTAGACAACTGAAAGTAAAACCTTGATATTGAAAAGAAATGCAAATTATGAATACCCATTGTTTTCTTATAGTTAAAGAGAGAGATAATGCTACAGTATTGCCCGTAATCTATCAGCGAGTTTTCAATATTGCTTAGTCAAATAGTAGAGATTCTAAAACAAAAGTCAATTATTTGTTATTTAAATCATCAAATACCTAAAAATCTATCGATGGAAACGTAAGAACAAAAAATAATAGATGAAATTTAAGAGGAATCCCCCTAAATTAGTTCCCGACTCTTATCGAATATGTTATATGCAGTTTTAATCTATGCCTAGCTCAAGCTAGCTGAAACAGTGTGAACATGTCAGGGTAACAGTAATGATAACTGGTTAATATTTATTAGCCAATTGTATGTTCAAGATATCAGTTTAAATTTTGAATTGAAAAAAAATTCTGTGACTTAAAAATAACATTTTTCTTATAAAATTTTATCAATTGTGTAAAAACAGTCTTTTTTTTGTAGATGTCGCTCTGTGGCAGCTTAAAATATATTTCTATGCTCGCGCGATATACATTGTTTGTAAATAAAAAGAGCGGAGAAAACGAAATGATGTAGTCTGGTTTGCCACTTAGGTTTATTTTTAAAAAATTAATCTATTAGATACAGATATGTATAGCTAGATAAATATTCTTTTTCTTCTTCATTTGGAAAATATTCAGATATGAGTAAAAGTGAAGAGAAAAAGCAATATCCGACACATATGAGAGACTATATAAACACAACTCGGAACTTGAAAGAGTTTATGCTAAATAATGTCCAGTTTTTTCGAAGTTTCTGAATCAGCTGATGATGATGATCTTGAAAGATTTGAATTTTGTCTCTGTAACGTTTCTTGTGTAGATTGTACTGTTGTAGTAGAACTAGCTACTTGAGTGTGATCAACATTTGAAATAGAAGTTACATTGGTAGAATCTGATGAGTCATGTCGAATATATGAGGTGGAAATGTCAGGTTGAAGAAAATTAAAACAAATTATTGTATCATCATGTGAACTGGAAACGATTTGAAATTCATCAAATTGAAGACGAAATACACGCCCAGTGTGTTCCGTGAAAGTTTTCATACAAAGTGATGATTTTTGAGAACGTGGATCAAGTGCTGCTTGAAGATCCCAAATTTTTATTTTACCTATTTTTGAATAACACAGAAGAGAAAACAAGATTATCTACATGTCATTCGTTTATAAAAACATACCATCATAAGCACCTGAAACGATAAGTTTTGAATCAAAACGAACACATCGAACCAGTTCTTCATGGCCTTCGAGTATTCGAAGACAAGTACCACATTCAATATTCCAAATCTAAAAGAATACAAAGGAAAAATCATCATTTCATTTCTTTACTAGATTGGACTTCAAGAAACTCTCAGTTTCGTTTTTTCATCATTGAACTTTAAAGCAACGACTTAGATTTTTACAATCATACAAAACAAATTTTGATATACCAATGCACTACCTGAAAAAATTTAACCAGAACGACCTTTCCTGTCATTGTAAGACAAGCATTCGTTTCGGCTACCTATCTTGTTTATAAATATCTTTTTAATCAATGCTATTTTGTTAATATTAAGTAATCTTTGAATGTTTTTTTTTTTTTTGAAGAAAAATACAAGTATTCTAATTCTGATTCCAAGACATGTAGTTTTTCAAACATAGAAAAGAAAGCATAATCTAAACCATACATAGATAACCAATCAGTGATGATCATTCTTATGAATGAATATGAGAAGCGTTTAATCACCTGTAGAATGTATGGCTGCATCTGGTTATAATGAGTTAAAAACCTTCGTTGATTACTTTGTATGGTTTCTGCAGAAAAGACTCGAAGACATTCGACCAATCTTTTGATGCATTTCAAGATCAATTACATACTAATTATAATCCAAGTCTTCTCTAGACAAATGGGACTAATCTTAAATACGGCACGCGATCGTCTGATAAAAGAACATGCAAAACATTTATACAAAGAAAGAGAAGAAGTAGGTTTGTATCATCTGACATGCGAAATGAAAACGAATAATTATTCACCACAAAACAACGATACGAAGTAACGACTGTAATCATAGAAGCGATAAGAACTAGTCAATAGTTAAGGTAAATTAACGTCGAACAAATTGCAACATAAATCAAAATAATGGTTCGAAAAAAGGCAAGAAGTACATTAGATATGGATTCTTAGTCATCAAGGGCAAATTCGCTTACCCGTATAGTATTATCTGATGAACCACTGACAACAAGTTGATCTCGATATTGTAAACAAGCAATGCCACGCCTATGTCCAATGAGTGTTCGAACAAAATCGAACGTCCCAGCTTTCTGTAAAAATATTTCATGTTGAAAAATGTTTTTTTTTCAAAAATACAAAAAAATGAAACTATATTCTTACCCAAACTTTAATTGTACGATCACCACTTGCACTCACAATATATTTATCATCGAAATCGACTACATTGACAGCTGCTCGATGGCCAACAAGTGCACGATGCAGAACTATATCAGCAGGCGAATTGATTTCCCATACAGCAATCGAACGATCTTTCGAGCATGTCATCATTATCTTATCGACAAATCGAAGATGTAATACTGCTTCAGCGTGATATACAAGTGTATTAATCAATATTCCAGTTTCAATATCCCATACTCGAATCGTTGAATCGGATGAGCCAGTTATAATAACTTTATCATCATATTGAAGACATAAGACACTACCATTATGACCTGTTAGAACTTTAACACATTCCAATGTTTTTCTATTCCAAATTTGAATTGTGTTATCTCGGAGTCCGCAGATAATTTTCTGATCGTCATATTGTAAACAATAAACACCTTTATTATGTCTTGAATGACATTGAATTTTTTCTAATTGATATTTTCCCGCTTGCCAATTGATTGTAAGTTGTTTAATATCACGTACAATGTCATGATATAAACACCGATAGAACTCATTCGATTTCTTTTGTTCACCGTTGATTAATAATTGGCGAAAAAGATATTTATGCCAACCACGATGTTTCGATAAATCATGCCATTGTGTATTGGCGAGAACTTTCCGTTCGATTATTTTTTTCCATAACATACCTAATGAAATATTGGAATCATTTTTTTATAAATTCTTTAAATTTCTATGTACCTTGAGCTGTAACATAATACCATTCTCGACAAACAAGTTCAACTGATTGTAATGATTGTTCATCTAAATATTCGAGGATCTTTTCTGCTAAATGTTCAAGTCCACATGATGATAATTGCCCAATAAAATCTCGTCGTAGCATTCGCGATAAAAACGAATTAATATATCCATGTTGATAACTATCCATACTCTTTAATAGATCTTCAACGAATAATGATTGTTCAGTAGAATTCCAATGTAGAAATGTTGTTAAATATTCGTGACTTTTGCCTTCGTAATCTATTGTTGGTGTTTTTGTTGTTGTTGTAATGTTAACGGATAATATATCATCGATATTTTGAGTAGAACTAGAAGACATTTCGCAGCATAAAAGAAAATCTACGTATTTGAATGTTAATAATTATCTAAAACAAAACAATTAATGACGTAGCGAATCACACCTATGTAATCAGAAGAATTAAAAGATAAACGTTTCTATGCATGCATTTTGATCGAAGTCTTCGTTACCGTGTAGTTTTTTTGTTTCATTGAAGGATTGAAATGTAAAGAAGCTCAAAGAAATATTCAAAATCACTAGTTAGCTTTCTTTTTTTTGTTGGTATACGATGCTTTAAGTATGAATATGTTAAGTCGTCTCTTCGTTTTCCTCGCTTAACACAACATACCTATGCACATAGAAGAGAAGCGAAAAAAGAAATATGTATGCAATGAAGCGTTGATTATATTAGTTCTTGAATACTGACCTCAATCACATCATTCAAAAGCGAAATATGACACAGAATTCGTTTTTCTTTTAAATCAATTAATCGCATAATTAATCGATATGCATCTGACAAAGAAAAAATAATAACGACATAAGTATGAAATACAAACGTATGCATTTGAATGCGAACAACAGTAACACCGGTTTTAAACAAATGTTTATATAAACAGACAAACGAGAAGAGATAGTCGACAATGTATGAAACTTAGATTTACAAACAAACCGTTACATACATATATGTACAAATAAAAGTTGAAAACGACGGACGGACAGCTAAGCACAGTTGTTTTGTTTTGACTAAAACTATATATCAAATTCAGAAAAATAGGCATGTTCGCATTCTACGCGTGTTATCATTTATTGAATGATGACGATTACCGAAAAATGGTATGGATTTTCTTTTTAGATCGTTGTTGATTGTAATCTATTTACTTGAGACAATTCTTCATCATCACTGAATGGATTTGATTCATTTGATGTGAAAACACATATGTCCATGGGTGCACTTGTTTGACGTTGATATATTCGAAAATTATCTTCACCGGGCTGTTGGTAATTTGATGATATACATATGTCTGTACATTCGCAACTAGAATCAGTATTTGATTCTTATGGAAGCGAAAAGAAAAATCGATTGTCTTACTCATTCACATGATAACAGTAGTCATCATCATTATCACCGAAAAATGACCAGACGAAATTCAATAAACGATTTAAAAATTGATTAGATGAAGATGATGGAACAAATAATCCTAATATTCTGTAATACAAACTTTGTCATAATCAACTCAAGACCAAAAATACACAGTCGAAGTTATTAAATTTAATAAACCTAGCCAGGATCATAAACACATTGCAAGGAATCAACTGGAACGCACGTACTTGTGTGTACAATGATCTTCGTAAGATGAAATCCTCGTGGTCTATCTCATTCGAAATAAGATTATCTCTTTATTGAAAAGTCTGTCTGGTAGCGCTGGGAAAATCTAATCGCACATGGAACAATATCGCTGCACGTCTGTCAAATTTTTCTTTCTCTAACCCATCAAATCAATTAATCTGTTCTTTATCACCTCTGCTTTCATGTAGCGATTGTAGATGACTGTATATATTTTTCGACGAATATTAATTAGATAACAAATACCAGAAGTGTTTAACTTGCATTTACTAACATGGTTCTTAAAAGAAACCAGCTCATGTATATGTATGCGTAAAAACAGAAACTTGCGTCAGATGTATCTAGATAATTGACAATATTAAATCTATCATTAGATAGTTCCCTAGACTACAAAAAATCCGAGACATGCATATTCTTTTCTCTCTATCTCAGTTCTTTTCAAAAGTCTTTCTACTTTTGCATCCGATAATATACTTTTCTGTAACATCGAATTCTATTAGATAATCCATGACTACTGTGATGTGAAGTAAGTTCACTTAAAACTGAATAATTTGTCATACCTTTTTACTGCTGCATATATAAGTTCAATTAGTAATGTAATTGGTAATGTTAACAGTAACCAAAGTCTATAAAGATTTGATTCAGTAAAATAACATCCGATTGAACCTTCGACATTTTCTATTGCATCGGCAAACACTATGAAAGTAAAATATCGTTTCGTAAATTTCAAAGCAAGAAATTGTCATTGAAATAAATATACTACTTACCAGCAAAAACTGGTGTTGGTAAATCTTTTTTCCTTGTAACTTTTTCACAAAATACACTAAATGCAGTTTGACTAGTTTCTTTCGCTAATTCTTCATTCAATTCGTCTGATGTATATTCATAATCTATTTGTTCATCATCAACAGCATCTAATCCTGCAAACATTTGATCAACATCATGTAGAAAGCCACTATCTCCTAATTGTTTCTCTTCTTGATCAGCTGGTTCTGTATAATCACAGCCAAGTGCAGATGATATAGTTGTCTGCACTGTTAAATCTGAAGATTTTATCATATCTAAATAATTTATTTGTTGCCTATGAAAACCACGCGAGACAAAAAGAAGATAAGAATAAACGTTCGTACTTCGTATTTGTAAAAACTTTAAACCATCAATATAACCACGCCAACAAATTTCTTTTAATACTGATAAATTCGGTGGAAATAATGCATGAGTCAAACGATAGAAATTCTCCTGTGTACATGAAATATCAGTTCCTACCCAAACAAAACTATTTTGGTATACAAACAAAAATCAAATATGAATTTCACCTCGAATATCAATACTATAGAAAGATCCTGATTCATTACGTGGACAAATATCATTTTCACCAGCAAATGGTGACACTAATACGGTTTCTTCATCAATAATTGGATTATTATTTGTTAAAGTACCATCCCAATAATACTAGAAATCCATCAAAATAAAAATCGTTCGTTTAAGAAATAAGAAGAATTTCTCTTGTACTTCACCACGAAATTTCGGTGGAATTATTCCAGACCAATATGGTACAAAACTTGAGCAGATAAGTACTTGAATAAGTTCTTCACGATTTTTAAATTGATTAATAATTACATTTTTATTATCTTTCCAACGGGTTAAGGATATAAATAAACGTCCCGAACATATTTCATGTGCATTTGGTGGCAAAATTCTTCGTAGACCATTACGTATAATGTCAACAATATTGAATGTTGGATGTAATGGTCCTAGTGCACGACTACGTGCACGTATAGCAATTTCAAGTGCATCACTACACATTTGTCCCAGACAACAACCACTCAGTGCACATGCAGCAACAAGTGAACCTGCTGAACAGCCAGCCATTTTATTCCTATCGAGAACTTGTGGTGTATGTTCTTTGAATGCACACACAACACCAATATGATAGACACCTAGAAATCCACATCCACATAATGACAAATTAATTGAAGATGGATTTGATTTAATAATCATACAAATTGAAAATTTTCTATATTTTCTTAGTAAATTAAATCTACAAACAAGTAAAAAGGAAAATCATCTCTATTCCGATGGTAAAATTCTATTTTGTCTAAGAGGTATTCTTCAAACGACCATTCAAATTTTTACAAATAAAGTTGAAGTGTATTGGTTGGATAAGTATTTGAACGTATCGAAAGAATAAATAAACGAAAATGATCATATAATAGTAGAGAAGAAAAATCACTTGAGCGACCTAGATAAAAGAATGAAAACTATATGACGCGCTTGCCCTGGAATGTAAAACAAGGCTACAGAAAGCATAATGAGTTCTCCTTCTTTTCTTTTCTCTCCCTCTCCGCTTGATGTGCATGAACACATGTGAGTCATGTTTCGGATCTTGAACAGAACGAACTGACGAAAGCGCGCGGCTTGCCTGCCATTGCATGATCGCTACGGGTCAATGAATGAATGATCAAAAAGATGCTCTCAATAGCCAATCAAAAGATATCTATATTAGTTTTGCATCTGAAAAGATGTCACCGAAATAAGATATATTTGATCCAGTGACAGAATTATGACATACTCCAATGATCAACGATGTCCTGATCGTCATCCCATGACATTAAGATGGGCAAAATTAATGCAAGCTTTTTACTTCATCATCGGAATCACTGTTTGAAAGAAAGAATATTCATCCATAGGACGTCCTTTGATGACGGTATAATCTTAGCGATACGATCACCTTCAATATTTTCATGGTTAAAATAAAATATAGCTTTCTTTATGATCTAATTGCTTGTTAGCGAGACCTTATGTGAAGCAAAAGCGGATATTCAAGAAAAAAAATCATACCATGTGTTTGTGTATGAAATGAAACTTTTTTCTTTTCAATGCACGTAATAGAATAAAGTCACTGTTCAATTTGACGATGCCATGCTGATATTAATGAATGCATGTATACCAGTTTTATTCAGTCGAACAGTTTGAAGTATCAAGGGATATTCATTAATTCACCATGTCGATTTTGATTCGATGAATCTCAATGGGTTATTCTTCATATGAAATCACTATTTGAATCAGAATTTGTCAGCATAAAAATCATTCATAGAAGCAATATTTTCGTCGGAATTTTCTTATTCGAAAAACTCTCTTCATAAATTCTAGTATAATGTTTAGAGACTTCACGTTTATTTATCTCGAGAAATAAAAACCAACATTACATAAAAGAGAAAAACATTGGTATCCAGAAAAAACAACAAACTTTTCCTATTGTTGAATGTTGTCAATTTATAAATACAATCCTTCAGGTGTACCTTGATTCTTTCGGTAAAGTACTGTTTCTTTACTTTTTCGAAAATCTTCGTTTGTTACTTTCATTCGCCGTTCTCGTAATGCCATTAAACCAGATTCAGTGCAAATTGCCTAAAAAAAATCAAATTTTATTTTCTAATCAAATTTTTTCCTAATAATCAATCGAACTAACTTTAATATCAGCTCCGCTGAGATCGTCTTTAGCCATAATTAATTCTTCTAAATTAACATCGTCAGACAATGTCATACGACCTGTATGAATTTTGAATATCATGCGACGTGTTTTTTCATCTGGCAATGGAAATTCAATTTTTCGATCGATACGGCCTGGTCGAATTAATGCTGGATCAAGACTGTCGATTCGATTCGTTGCCATGATAACCTAATATAGGATTTTATTTGTAAAGAGAACAGTAAATAATTAAAATTTTACTTTAACATCTCCACGTGAATCAAATCCATCAAGCTGATTTAACAGTTCTAACATAGTTCTTTGAATTTCTCTTTCACCACCTGAATTCGATTCATAACTAAATTATTAATGAAATAGAAAAAAACATTCATAATAATAATAAGTAGAAAAATCTACCGTTTTGTTCCTATAGCATCAATTTCATCAATAAAAACAATCGCTGGCGCATACTCTTCAGCGACTCGAAATAATTCACGTACAAGTTTTGGACCATCACCCTTAAATTTATTAAAGTCATTATTTTAACTTAAGAAAATCGAATAGAAATTACCAAATATTTTTGAATTAATTCTGAACCAACTACACGTAAAAATGTTGCCGATGTTTGATTGGCTACAGCTTTGGCAAGCAGAGTTTTACCTTTCCAGAAAACAAACGTTAACTTGTAAGATAAAGATTATACTATATACCTGTTCCTGGTTGGCCATAAAGAATAACACCTTTGGGTGGTTTAATACCCATCTCTTCATAATATTCAGGATGAGTTAATGGTAATTCAACAGCTTCCTAAACAACAAATAAAATGATCAATAATTTGAGTACGATCAACGGACTCGTAGCTTTACTTTTATCTCTTGAATTTGTGTTGTTAATCCGCCAATATCTGCGTATCTAAATTCATGAGGAACAACAAGTGAAAATGTCTATTTTGCCTTTTCTCTTTACGTTTCTTTTGGTGCTTTTTCAAGTTTCATAACCGCAACCATAGGATCAACATCATCACCTAATACGCCAATAACAGCATGAACCTAAACGAAAACGAAATCTTTTTATCGATAGAAATAAAATTAAAAATCAATAGTTTACTTTATGATTTAGTAAAACTGTACATCCTGGTTCAAGTTGATCTTTATCAACAAATGACATAATAGTCACATAATGTTCAGAACCAACTGATGTCGAGACAATAGCATGATTATCATCAATAATTTCTTCTAAGGTACCAACAGCCATTGGTGATCCTCTGAAATGGAAAACCGATAGAACTATGATCGAAAGAATCCTAATAATCTATTAAGTATTCGCTCATCTTCTTTCATTCAGTGACATAAACAAATCGAAAAACTGATCAAATGTTGCATCAATGAGTCAAAATATTCTATTCAGAGAGGTCCTATTGAGTTAAATGCTTTTCTTTTATGACGATACACTATCGAATTATTCTACAAACATAAATTCCTACCGTATATCATCGACTTTCGATCGTTCTTCCTAAAACAAAAGACATGTATATAACAAAAATGATTAGATGCGATTTTACTTCATGGCGATCTTCTTGCGGTTTTAAGCGTTCTTGATTTTTAATAAATTCTTCTTCTAATAATAAATAATCTTTTATACGTTCAAATCTTAACTGTTTCAACCGACAACGTGTATACGGTAAAACTTGTGGTAATTTGTTTGCAGCTTCTGGACCTCTCGTACGCTTCTTCCGTTTTCCTATGCGTGTTGGAATTGGCGGTTCATATTTTTTTTTCTACAGAACAACAGATTAATTTTTTGAATTACATGAATAATTACGTTTTTGCTTACCTCTTTATCTCCCGCTCCATCTCCTCGTTTTTGACCACTCGAACCTTGATTTCCCTAAAAATTTGATCAATTTCAAATCTATTTTCTAAAAAATAACACCTAATTCTCACCATATCAAATATCTAGAAGTAAAAAAAACCGTGATCTCATCACAAAGAAAATCAGACAAACCGATGGGTAGCTATGATTCTTTTGCGAGTAAGAAAGAATTACACATGCATTTTGATTTTCATGCTAATAGGAACAAAAAGACTTGATCAGACAACACACACGTTTATATCAACAACAACAAAAAGAAAGTTGGTCTTCTACAAATTCGATAAGTCTAAATCTTTGATTGACATTAAGATATATTCATTCAGCATGATTAGTTCAGTTTTGAACATGACTATCATTATCTTTGAATTCGTGCGTATGTGAAGCATCATCTGATCGTGATGGTCGTCGATGTTCGATGTCATGTTCAACCGCTTCTTCCCATGATTCATGTTTGACACCTTCAGCTAAATGAAGAAGTTTTATATGAACAGCCATCATTTTTTCATTTTTTGGTGGCATTAGTATTTTTTTAAATGATACAATGTCACCTGCTTTTGGAACATAATCATCGTCAATGCTATATGAATAAAAGTATTTTACAATTCCGAAATAAAAACGGACTAATAAAAATATTTACTCGGAAACATGAACGAATATGAGCTCGCTTGGAGGACCTTTTTGTTGAATATGACCGTAACCTTTTTCTCGACAAAATTCATGAATGATACCTTCATAAGATGGGCTTTGCATTGTGCGTTCACATCTAAATTTGCATAGATGAACTTCCGACAACTATATTCGACACCTGTAAAAACATATTCTTGGTTCCGTAACTTCTCACTTATTTGTAAGACACAAACTAAAAAGAGTTTTGGAGTAGAAATTCGTAACAACGAGTTTCTTCTTGTGATTAACTATGTCGTGTTTTACATTTTAATACAACTAAGATTACTCTCAGAAATTTTCATAAAATAAATCGTAGGAAATTATTCAATATTCCTAATAGAAGACGTAATTCTCTTATAGACGTGAGATATTGTTTCGAAATTTAAAATAAATATGAAATATCATACTGCGAAAGTGTTCGTTCTCGTCTTGGAATGAAAGGAAATGAATGATGATCTCCTTCATGAGACGCCGATGATGTTGGATGAGACATGATAACAAAAAATAAGAATTTATCTAGAATATATATATATACACAAATATAATATTTATGAACTATTTAATAATGAAGTAAAACGAAAAGTTTTTGGAAATGGATCTTTTCTGCTAACAACTAATGTTCGAAATTTGTATGATATGTAACCTTTAATCATTCCTTTTTGAATCATACTATTTAGTACATCAATAAGTTCATTGATTTTAAAATAATTTTCTTGTTCAAAACCAAAATTTAATAACAATAATAATATTGATTCTAATGGAATTTTGTCTGTTTGTTGTTGATCAATTTGATAAACATACATACGAAATAAATTTCTTATTGTTATTAATTTTAAATTTTCAATTACAAAAAATAGGCCAGTATCGAATAGAAATTGTTCGTGTTGTTTGATTTTATCCATAAATAATTTCAATGAACCCGTACGTATCGGTTCAATTAAATCGATGAGTTCATATAATTGATATTTTTCCAATATATCCATTTTAGGTGTTGAACCATGCAGCATTTTAACGATAACTAAATATAATAATGATTGTTGTTTATTTTTAAGACTTCCACTTCTATTTGAATCAAGACAATTCGTAAATACATAATCGAAATGTGTACTAGCTGAGCTATAATCATGTTCTAGTAGAAGATATTTCCCAAGAAAATAACGGTAAGTAAGAACGTAAGATGAAAATCGATGTTCCTGTTGAGCGTTTTCTTCTTGCATATATTGCTTTAACGGAACCTCACCTAGAAAAAAAGATAAAAAGTTATTTTATTAGATTAGATTATCAAAACAGAAAGTTTATGACACAATCTCTAACATTATTTTTGTCTAGGTTTCATTTTTTGGGTAGGCGCTGCTCCCCCAGTAGATAAATTACGGATCTCTATTCCGCAATGGATTGCTTTTTTGAATCTTTCAGAAATAGAGTAAAGATGCAGTTAATCTACTAGCACCAGACATTCTTTCTAAGCTTACACTAGGACAATCTATGATATTTCCGTTGTAGTCTTAGTAATAGTGTGCCACGGAAACAATATAAAATAATAGCTTCTAGGCTTTAACGCTTCTTTTATATCATGTCTCATAAAAAAATTACTGGTATGCAATTAGAACTACGCCGAAAGGGTATTTTTAATCAACAAGTTTTATCAAGCTGATCAATCCAAATAGTATTTCATGTTTGGGAAGTAGAGTAGTGGAAAATCTGTTCAATCTAGTAATCGTCAAACAGCCAATGTCTCAAGCGCTATTTATAAATAACCGGTCTGATAAAAATTCGTACCTTCAATCCTATTTTTTTTTCTATGTACAGTCTATAAGTTATGAAAATCCGATGAAACACTTGTAATTTCAGAAGACAGATATATTCGAACACATTTTTCTGATCTCATCTAAAATGTAGATGATTATCTAAGGTGGTCATGATGTTAAGAGTTTAACGTTACGAGGAAATATTTTAAGTAGTTTTTCACGTTTTATGACACATTTAATAAGAAAAGGATACGTACTCTTTCGAATGAAATAAGTACATAAATTAAATTTATGTAAAGCATAATATGTTTTTAACATTTGATTAACAATACAAAAATTGCCAACTTTTTTCAATTTAGTTGTTGAAGGAAATCTTTGTATAGTACCAAGAGCTTGTAACAATTGACTATTGCACGTTTGTATTGTACTATTCGAATTCGTATTATCCGATGTTTCATAATCGTCATTGTTCATTTCATCGTTTCCCGGTAGAGCAAGAAGACGTAATTCATGCGCGAGACGATTGAACACAGGTAAGATCCACGATGGTTCATCATTGTTTGATGTTTGTTGTGTTTGATCTGTATCCTGATAATCATCACCAGCTGTGGCAGCAGCTAGTCGACTTGAATATCCATTGAGAATCGACATGAGACACGAGAATTTTCTTGATTGATGCCGAAAAGCTCGATCTATATCATTTAAATGTAAATAATGACATACGGACCAATGATGTTGACTTAATAATCTCCACAGGAAGTCATTATCATTAATTAATTGTTGATCAAAATTTGGTTCATGATAATCATTGAAATCGAGATCATCGATTTTATACATTCGTGTTACATTAAGTAATTCACTAAGTAGATCCCCATCACATTGTTTAACTGTATCAAGAATTGAGTCAATAAAATCGGATTGTGTACGAGAATAAATGAAGTCATCGGCCATGTTTTTCTTTCTTTATCTACAACAATGAAAATTTTACTGATTTTTGTTCTCGATTCGCATATTCATCAAGTGAACGTCTTAGAATAGAACATAAATGATCGCAATGTGTACCATATTTGCCAGATATTTCAACAATATGTTCGAAATGAAAGAAATTTTTTGGACACCATTTTTCTTCGTACTCATTTTTCAATATTTCTTTATAATTATCTAGTGCATAATGAAGTTCCTGTAATTTTGTTTTATCTTCTAATTGATCAATTTTATTAATAGCTAATATGGCCATCTTATTCAATAGCGATGGTTGATAGAGTTCAAGTTCTTTAGTTAAAAACACGATGGAATCAAATGCAGATCGTACGGGTGAACGTAGTTCTAATTGAAATCCGTTTATGTCGATAACAAATAGAAGAAGTTTTGATCGTAGTGTATGCTTTAAAAATCTTGAGCCGAGACCCATTTTTGTATGCGATCCTTCGATGAGACCTGGCAGATCGGCAATAGTAAATGACCGACCATCATCGAAAATAACAGTACCTAATTGAGGATGGAGAGTAGTAAATGGTACAGGCGATATAGCAGGATGTGTACGCGAAAGCATTGAAAGAAGAGTTGATTTACCAGCATTTGGATAGCCAACAAATCTAAATGAATATTATTGATTAGATCGACTTCAAAAATAAAATTTGCGAATTTACACAGTTCATTATGTTTCACGGTACATAATTTCTAATGTTAGCTTCTCTCCTTTATAATGTTCTATTTTTATAGATTTGTTTAGTCGAATACGAAATCTCTTTCTCTTTTACCGAATGCCATATGCACATCACGGAAGCCATCATTATTTATGGAAGTCAAAATAAACGCCTACTATTAGAATAAAAAAATGCTAGTCAAGTATGAGCGTTTATTCATTGTCTCGCTTGGTCTATTCTTCCATATGCAGTAGATATTTAAATAATCGTTGGTTAAATTATTTGCTTTTCTCTTTGTAGATTTGTGAATTTTCAAAACGGAAAACAATCAATATTTTTACATTCTTCTCGTATTCAATCTAGAGGTTACTCGGAAAATTGATAGAGCTAAGCAGTGACACCTACATTCTTAGATAGACATTGTTCATATACGTTCAATGATTGTGAATGAATAACATTTTAGAGTAATACTTGAACTAGTTCCTCATAGCATTGTTAGTTTATCATATGATGACGATTGCGCTTAGAACTTCTTTTTCATAGAACTAAATGCTATTCATGACATTGAAAATAGTGCTCGATTTTACTTCGAATCGATTTTGGAACGCTGAGCCTGTAAACTCATACATGAAAAGAATGCATTATTTTAATTCTAACTATTTTTACTCACCCAACATCAGCCAATATTTTTAAATCAAAATTAATCATTGTAGCTTCCCCAGGTTGTCCTTCAAAATGTGTCTTAAAATTTCCCCCAGCACCGCCATGGGCTACAATACATTGGTCATCGATGTCATTGATTTCGTCAACTAATTCACCATTATCGCGTAGAATTTGAATACCTAATGGTACATTAATAACTAAGTTTTCACCTGGCCTTGCATTTAAACTTGTTTTATGGCTATGTTCACCATCGGATGCCACATAACGTTTAGGTAAATTCTTTTCATAAACATTTCTCAATGTCAAATGTCGTTGACCACGTACAAGAATACTACCACCCGGCCCTCCGATGCCACCATATTTTTTTAAACCGTTCCCACCACGTCCGCCACGCACATAAACGCGAAGTTTATCGATAAACGGTAAGTTTAAATGACGACCAAGATCTTCCTCAGCAATTTTGAATAAACAACGAGTAAAAAACATCGATATCTATACAAAAAAAAGAATTGCTTTAACTATTATATTTTTTAAACAATGCCTATAAAAATCATATTTTTAGTCAAACAAAGAAAATACCAGTCGATCCTAATTCTACTGAAATATCATTATTTCAAGCCAATTACAGTTCATTTGAATGTGACCGAATAAATAAAGTAGATAAAAATACGATGAAAATTTAAAATCTACCATAAGTAACAACTATTTTATGTATCGTATGAAGATGATTTTGTTATGTAATTTCATTTTCAATAATATTTTCACAATTGAACACTTCTACGTCAAAGAGTTCACAACAATGAATGAATTTATTGTCGATAAAGTAAATTAATTATCAGTGATATGCTACATTTGGCAAATAGTCCAAATATAGATTTATGTTGAAAATAAAAATATATGAATAATAAAGGGGGCAAAAAGAAAGATTATATTTCTTCATTTCTTCAATGAAGTACAGAACAACGGAAACCAATCAGAAAAATATGCTTGTTGCTGTGATCGTTCACTAGCGACATCATTGTGATTTTACATATTTGTATTTGAATATTTTTCTTGTCAGTATCTCAAAAAAACAAAATGTAGATGGATAGATTCTTATACGTTTTAGATAGAAACAAATAATGCGCCATTCAAATGCTTTTCTATGATTGTGTTGAATTGACAATGAAGAATTAATGCCAGAGTTTAGAAGATCCTTCATCATGTCTTGCATATCTGACTGACTCGGCATCAGTGAATGCAATGGATGATACGTACGAGGTTATACTTTTGAGAAGAAAAAAAAATCTATTGATTTTGTTTTATGATTTTTGTTAAACTCGGTTCAATAATTGAGTTAGAATTCAGAATTTTCCAAAATAAAAATGCATTCATGCGGAAATTCAAAATTGCTGCGATTTCGTATCGTTTGTAAGCGACATTTCATATGCTCTGAATGAATACTAAAATGATTTTTCTAATCAAGCTTCTACTGTCCAGCAAAATATGAGTTTCTTAAACTTTTGAACAGAAAAATCCTCTGCTACCGATAAATATTGAAGTATGCACAAGATTAATCATTCAAAAAATCGCTCAACTCGAATTTGATTTCCTGAACAACCATACTTACAAGAAGCACATATATTGAAAATTTCATTTCAATAATTTTAGAACCGAGTATTAGAAATTTCTCACAACCGGAACCGAACTCGAATCGTAGAAAAAATTACGGAAAAACATACGAATAGTTTTTACTTTGAATCAGTAAAAGAGTTATTGTTAGGCTTGACACGACCAACTTTCGAACTATTGCTTGCTACCCACTTGGGTTTCCTGTGAACTCCAAAAGGTGAGATCCATATTAGCAAAATAAAAATGATACGTGCGGTAAAAAAATTATATTCTAATACGCTCTAGTCTGAGAATAGGATTTTACTGCAGGGATAGCTATAATATTGAAAATGATCTACTGCTTGTTCGTTTTTAATCTCTATATATTATACGTGAAGATTATAGATTTAATGGTTTATTTCATAGTATTTTAACGAATTGAACGAGAACTATACTCGAGTTAATCATCAAAAATTCTGGTTTTATATAATACTTAACTTTAATTCAACCTATGTTACTGATAAGTCCAATGTATGAGATACGAGTTCTGTCGAAAGATTGCTTTTTTGAAAGATCAAAAAGTATCCTCTTGTATCATAATATGTAAAGGTATTCATGGAACATGAAATATAAAATAAGCGAAATAGCTTTAATAAGTAAGTGGCCTATTGGGAACTCATGTGAATGTCTTAATTACGAAACCATTATGTTTTTAGAGAGTATGCGCACGAGGACGAAATATCATCGAAATAAAATGGGATGGTAATGGTAAGTGAATGCAATGTTTCAAAAAGATAACATACACTATGAGTATTGTTAATGAATATTGCTTATGTGTGAAGTTTGTTTTTCATGCGGATACAGTGAATTAAAAAGTACGAAACGACAAAGAATGATAGGAAAGCTATGAATACGGACACATCTGCACCTCTTCTTTCTATCGTGATATACACACCAAAAACTCGTATTTGTATTCATGCTATAGAAAAAAACTCAACTGTTCTTGATTCTTGATTCTAGATTTTCAGGTTGATATTACCGAGATATCGAGAATTTCTGTATCTGTTATTTTATTGCGTTTTGCTGAGATACACGACTAATATCACTGACTTGTACATCTGTTTATTCAAGGTAAAGACGATTGTTTAACGTACTGATCGTGTTTCTTACAATAAACCTTTAGTTCTTAGGAAAAACGGACTCTATTTATTCGTATTAATATTAATTACATAGGATGGCAATATTTTATCCGAAGTCAAAGTTTATGATTATTATGGTATCAATCTGGATCAATTTTGGAGTCCTTTGTTAGTGCACAAGTGATACAGTAGATAGTGTTTATAAACAGCCATGTCATGATATGATATTATACATTCGCGATTATGGTTACGTGGAAGAAGCAAAAAAAATGTGGGCATTCGTAGATCACACACACATTAAACCTTGATAAATACTTGAATCAAAATCTTTGAGAAAACTGCTCATCCGTAATGAAAGAAGTCAAAGAATATATTGCTACCGATATGAGCTACAGTGAAGTGATTTCATGGGCAAAATGTGAATGTTATGAAATTGCATGGCAAAAAATGAATAGGTTTCATTTCTTTGGTCTGTTGGATTGCAATAGTACATTAACAACTTTAATTTCACACTCAGGAGGCCACGAAAGCTTAGTCACAGTTCAGCTACTTGTGCGAGCAGCAACACATCAAGATCCGAAATTTTCCGTTATTAGAAAGAAGATAAATGGCACAAACAAATACGATAAAAGTTTCTGCGTTCTGAAGAGCCCTGACCTTGTCGTATATGGATTTGCAAATGCCATAGTATCTGCTACAGAGGTGTGCGATCCACGGGATCGGCGGGGCGGGTGAAATAAAAATAAAAGGCACGGGTTTCGGGCGGGGCGAGTATAGATTTACACGGGTTTGGGCGGGTCAAGATTTTTCACGGGGCCCGATGAAGGCTAGTAAAAAATTATTGAGTGGTCGTTAGTCTAGGTGTGTAGTACGAAATACATATTGATTGGCTCTTTATTATCATCTTATGATCTACAAGCTTGTCTTTACGTATTTCTTTTTTTCCTTTTCGTTTGGATAAAGACCCGGAGTCGACAAAGCAGTGAGATAAAAGTTACACAATAGCAAGTGTTACGTGATTGTTCTGCAAGTTTTTGAACGGGTCTAGATATAGAATTGATATCAGTAGGTAGAGAAAAAGATACTGTATTGAACTATGTTTTTGGATTTTCCTTAAAAACTGACAAGTGAAAATTAGAGGGCGCCATCGCACAGTGACGACATATGAATATGTTTACTGCAGTAAAATATGATTTTCAAATACTACTAGATCAATTCTCTCATATTTCTGTTTTACCACATTATTTTAGCTATAAATTCGCCTAACTACCACCTTTTTCAATCCCACAAGAGATCAGGTAACTTTAGAATATCTTCGCGCAATAATAACAGTAATTTGTTTACATAAAAGTTGTAGGAAATGACAAAAGAACAATTTATCTGATAAAAATATTTAATGACACAAATAATATATAGAAATACTATATAAAGCAGGTTGTGGGTACCATTAGAGACATGGAGGAAATGGACACTACCCCCACCCTATACACTTTTGTCTCAGATTTTTTGTTAAAAAATCTAATTAATTATATACAATAAATAATTTAAAATAAACAATTTGTTGAATATAAATTTTCTTCGGGTTATACGGACGGAGCGGGCCCCGTCATCAAATCGACGGGCGGACTGGGCGATGTGGCACCTCTGGGTGCATGGGTGCGGGCGAGGCGGCTGTGTGTTTGTACGGGGGCGAGCGGGGCGGGGAGCTTACGCAATTTAATTGCGCGGGGGTCGGCGGGACGGGTGTTGGGAATTCGCGGGGCACGAAAATTCCCTGCCCCGCACACCTCTGATCTGCTATTCTTCACTTCTCACCATCTGAAAACTTACGAAACGTACCAAACGATTTAATTTCCTATTTAGATAACCTGAAAAACTGGGTAGGTCACTTAGGCTCGTTCAGGCCAGTTTATGTTTTACGCACGAAAAAATTCAAAACAAATTGCAGAGACTCTGCAATTTGCAGAGTCGGTAATCTATATGGTGAAGATACAAAATGGCTTTTTCGCAGTATTGTTGCTCGGCGCCCAAAAGAAGTCTTAGTTACTGGTATGGTCGGAAGCAATAAGGATAAATTCAAACTCGGAGACTTTGTTACTCCAGCCAATTGGTTGAATACAAGCAGCTTTTCGTCATTGAGATGGATTCATCCTTTAGCGAATGTATCAGTCACTGAAGCCTACCAAACAGAGTAACACCACCTCTTGTTGAAACGGATGATTGGCTTACAGACCATTTACATATCGATCTCGTGGATGTTGAGGGTGGACATATGATCGCCGAACTTTAAAATCCTGGAATAAAAACGCATATTATTTATGTAATTAGTGATCAAATTGGGATCAAAGGTGTAGATCGTGCTGAATGGGATGATGAACTGACATGACCAAAGCTCACTGAAAATTCGTGCTTATTTCTTGATGTATAGGGATAAAAAATTGAATCACTCCGTTGGAAATTTATAATCTAAACGAGAATGTAGGGTACTAAGAAATAGGATGTTAAATAAATTACTATTGCGTGGCTTATTATTATTTTTTTAACAGTAAACAATTGCGAACGAAGTCATTTAGTTTGGCCTTCGCGAAAGGATGATGGAAAAATAGTTGCTAACGATTTTAATTTCCGTTAAGAATGCAGCCAACTACTAATACTATTATAATAACATGAACTTTTGAGTTCACTTCAGGTACCCTACCCTAGGGGCATTCATCGAGTGGCAGTTTTATATCTTTAAGTTTCACGCATGATCGGAAGGCTACGACGCTGTATCACTGCAATACTGTGCACCAACTAAAAAAGAAACATTCTTTGATGATCACATAACATTGAAGTCGATATGAGTATTTGCTTCATCTACAACCATCATAGCAATTTATATGTTTATCATTGTTAGCAATTGGAAAAGCATGCAATTGAGGTAAGAGTTATGCCTTGATGTTATTTACAGATGATACAAGTGATAGTACAGCAGTCATTTTTATGTGATGACTGTCACCAGTAATGTTAAAGAGAAGAAGAGCTGCAGAAACAACGCATTATATCTAAGTGAAATTAGCTAAAATAATAAGAATAATTTTCTTGCAGTGTACATAACTCATAAGAAGAAGTAACTTTTCTCACAAGTATCAAAATAAATCTTTCGTTGATTCAAATATCGCTGGCGAGGAAGTATACTCGACTCTTGTTAAGTCTTCATATGCTATTATATGAAGAGTATCATGAAAGAGGATATATATTTCATATCGTAGCTATTCACATCAATATCGAGCACAAGAAAAGAGTTAAATTGTTTCACTTTTTAAGTTTGTTGCTACTGCAGCTACATGTTCGTTACATATTCTTTCAAATTCCTAAGATTTACAAGAAAACTCGTGATTTCTCTTTACCCTTAGCTATGAGATATTGATCAGATTAAACAAAATAGTTTGACTTTTTTCTCACATACCAAAATTTCAAATCTGTATTTCACGATATTTAGATCGCTGAAAGCTTCATTTAACTCTTGTATCAGCTGAGACAGAAGGCTTATGGTAAGTTGCTTATCAGTTCATCGATGGTAAATGCGCTGTTTTTTCTTCATAGCAAACCAAATAATGACAAGTCGATGCGTCGAATGTTTTAATTATTGCATCGATTTATAAAAATCTTTGAAAAAAAACGAAAGAATGGAATGCGGGTGATTCCAACGTTCACCCTGAAATTCTACAATACATGACACCCACATCCACCACAAATCGTTAGCGACATCAATTTAAGCCTTCATGAAATTATACTTTATATTTCTACTCTGAACCAAACGTTATTCTGAAACGATTGATTGCCATTATTTATTGAATGATTTTACACTCATCTTGTTATCAATTCAAACACTCAATTACACCCAAGCATTGTATATCGCATCCAAAAATTCAATTACTTTTTTTTTTGTATTTTCTATATGTCTATTGTATTATTGAGGTTTCAACTAATAATTTATTGTCAAGAATGAATATTGAAATTTTTACTGCTAACCAAAAAATAAAACAATTCAAAAAACGTACAAATGCGTTTTTATTTATATTGGATGCAGCTGATTGCATATTCAAGTAACTCTAGCTACTTCACAATTGTTGATTAAACAAAAGAGTAAAAGCAGCGAACGAAATTTTCTTGTTATAAACAACGTGATCGCCGATAGTCTATATAGTAATGCATCGAAATAAATTTAATGATAAACCCCAGTTAGCAGTGTAAGACATTAAATGTTTCGTCTCGTTCCTTGTAAAGTGTGACTTCATTTTAGAACGAACCAGGCTTGGAAGCCGATTGCGATCGGGATTATCGTTGGAGGTTTACTTGCAGGCGTTGCTTTCGCATCGATGCTGTCGTTGTATCTCACTGAGCAAACAGAAGAATGTATGTATACGAATGATCTATACAAAGAAAGCATGTTGTGCGAGACGACCTAAGAATGAAAAATGCTCTCTGGAAAGCAATTTCAGCGAGTTTCATATTTTAATCATATAACGATTGTACTAACAACTTTTTATATGTAAACTAGTTTTTTCCTGCAAAAAACTGAGAAACACACTAGTGAACAGATTTATGAAGACGTCTAAAAATTTGTCACCGTAAATTAAAGATTGAGATTATGTCGATGCTTAGTGTTGGTTTGACTGCTAGCGAACAAAACACCCACACTTCGCTCTTCAATGGACACCCTGAAAAGCGTGGAAACACATCATTTTTCATCAATCAAATTCACTCTTTCGACTTACGAGACGAACAATTTCTTTGATAGGGTGACTAATTCTAACTAAATCAAATCTCACTTCTATTTTGTATTATCAGGTACCGATACTAATAGTACTCGAATATCACTCATAGTAAATTAAATAAGAGAAATTTAATACGTGGCATAGAAATCTAAATTTTGAATATGTCTATGTCATTGAAGCAGCGTTGAGCACGACAACAAGTACAACTTTGACTGCAACAACAGCATCAACAACAACGGTATTAACAACCAGTACCACAACAACCTCGACAACATCGACAACAACGGCATCGACAACAAGCACTACAACAACATCGACCACATCAACAACAAGCACCACAACAACATCGACAACATCAACAACATCGACAACAACTACAACATCGACAACATCAACAACAAGCACCACAACAACATCGACAACATCGACAACAACTACAACAGGTAAAATTTCTGCGTGGAGTTCGTTCTTTTGTAGCTCATAAAGAGACTGTAAGTAAAACTAACTAATTGTAATTTCATTGTGACAAATTGAAAATTAATGGGAGGATCTATCTGCTACATATATTGTGCAGGACTATATAAAATCAAATAACTTTTCGGGCATCGGATTAAAAATCCAGTGCCTGTGAGCCAGAGCTTCCACAAGTCTCATCTATACTCGAGCTGGGAATTCGGAAAATTTTGTTAGTCAGTAAGCATTTCGTTTTCCTAGCCATTTAATGCATCAGATGTTGTGGCTGACCAGGATAAATGAAAGAATATGTATTCGCGACATCAATTCAGAGATTTATGGTTTAAATGTCATTTCTACTAATAGCTTATATCGTATTCCAAATGCCTGTGTAACCGGACTGAAACAGGAGATTCCTATCTGAGTACAATAATTTTACTATAACGAAAAATACTTCATTGCACACTTTTAAAAGGCTACTATGATAATTAAACTTATCGCTACAAGCTTTACAGTATATAGTAGAAGATTTATACAGAGAAAACTTTATGCTTACGCATGTTTTTAAAAAACAAGAATTCAATTGCTCACAGTGTCTTATTTTTAGCTCCAGTATCAAGTATTTGCGTAACTAACACCAGTGCAAACCTCTATAACAATCAATTTGTTTATTCACCTACTTCTCAAATTTATGCGACTGGTCTATTAAACAATCAATTTGGTGTCTATATAGCATATGGCTATGCGAATGTTACTTCAACAGCACTTTGGACAGCAGCTCAGAGTTCAATATCTCAAGCATACACTCTTGCTTTACAAGCAGATCGTAATTTGGTTGTTTATTCTTCGACTAGTGGTGCGTTGTGGAATACTGCTACCAATAATGGAGGTATTGGATCACCATTTTGCTTCCAAATGCTAGATTCTGGAAATTTGATATGGACTGATGGTACGAACACTATTATTTGGCAAACAAATACTGTACAAACTGGATAACCTCTTCCTGTCCTCTCTTTGAGAAAATAAATCTGATAAACTTCAATTATATCCTTTGTAATACTCTTTTAACACACATTAATAATAATAATAATAATAATAGCTCCCATAGGCTTATCGGATTTTGGGGCCAGCGCTGGGGTCCACGTGCGCAAGTTTCTTTCGTCTTTTTCTTTTTACGGACGATGGTATCTGCACTCCTTTCCGTCCAACGCTTCTCCCATATGGGTTGGCGATCATCATAAGTATCACGTGATTGTGACATCTATGAGATTTAATTAAAGAAAAATAAAAAACAACTGGCCTAAGACATTTTATTTCAAAATTTTCGTAGACATATAGTGACAAAAACCATGCATGAGTTTTATTTATTCATGATAAAACAGTTTATTTTTACGTTTTTAATGATTTTACTAATAATATGAACTAATTTTGTAACAGGCTCATATACTCTATTGTTTATTGTTGATTGAATTGATGAACTTGATAACTCCGCATTTTCAAAGTTTCACTTCTATTCAGCAACTGTGTAAATATATCTTTGACTTTCCAGTGTGAGTGCCATTTATTGTTATTAATTGCAAAGTGACAACGTTTGAATTCGTCTTGTAGATAGTTCCATACGTGAGTGATCAAATTCACCACACGTAAAAAAGGATTTAAAAGTTTTTGTTTACTTAAAAAAAATTATTTTAATGCAGATTGGATCTGACCATGTAAAACGACTGCAAATAATTTCTATTAGTCTTAAATTGAATGTAATTTGGCACAGATAAAACTCAGTATCAAAGGTAAAATGTTTGGTTTGTTTTTGCCAACCAAATAAAATAATGTATGAGAGGAATGCTCATTAATAAATTTAATAGATGTTATTCATAGTATCCCCAAAGTTAAAATGAAAGTATAAGAATTAATACTTGATCACGAAATTTTTTATTCTTTATAATTTCGGTGAGAAATGTTGTGATAGAGCTATATGGGCCTACATGTGCTTATGGACATTAGCTTCACACAGTCTATTCCACAAGATTTTAGTATATTTTTTTTTATTATAACTTCTGTCCTTGTTCTTGAATGCAAATAATAGCATACATATATTTTAATACATGACGATGGATTCCGTGTCTATTTGTAAATGAAATTGTAACAATAATGATAATTTCATCTCATTTATATATAGTTGATCTTCTGAACATTTGTTATGTGTAATGATATGTGGTTGTACGATGCGAAATTCTTGTAGAAAAATTTTGCTAACATATATAATTATACTTCAAAACTATTAAATTTTCTTTCAAAGTTTTAATTATTACTTTTTTAGGTATAAACTACTACATAAATGCTAAATAAACTTTGGATGAAATCATTTCTTAGTACAGTGCATGGTTCATTATTACGATTTCAAATCCACCCTGGTTGTTTACGAGGAATTCTGTGTCGTCGATCATGATGTTTGAGTTGTATATGATAGTACAAGAGAGTTTATGATTTTTTAAAATTCTTTATTCAAATGGAAGTAACTTTAATTCTGCCACGAAGTAGTTTGTTACAGTGAATTGTTTATCAGACCATAACAGTTTAAACATAGACATAAACACTTTCAGATAAAAACTGTTGCATGAAACAACGAAAAATGTTAACATTTACACTGTAGGATGCGTAGAAAAGTAAAACTTGAAGAAAATATTATTCGATTACATGAATACACATTCAAGAGGAAGAAAAATCAAAATCAAAAGAATTCATCTTACTAGAATTATACAGCGATCTGAGGAAATCATTATTTGCTCCATGATTATCTTCATCAAATCAATGAATCTAAAACTGAAAAGAAAAACTATTGCGACGCATGTGACGATTTTGGATACAAGAGATGCTTGCGCTGATGGAACTACGCTTTATTTAGCTTCTTCATATCATAAATCGCATCGTTTACATCCACAACATGCGTTTATATACGCAGTCAAGAGAGAGAGAGAGAGAAGGAAAAGATAGACATAAAAAAAAGAAAGATGAGAATAACAGAAAAGATAATCGTGGAGGATGATATATGTATTCCGGTCAACAGAATAAGCAACAAGCTAATCTTAGTTACCCAGGTCGATCAAAACGGAACTCCGTTACGGTGCGTTTACTGGAATCAGTTTTACGGACCGTATCTCTATTGTAAAATAGCCGTAAGTAGTCATATTTTCACCGTAAACGATTTGGTATTACTGTGTTCAGTAAAGANGGGAATACTCCCTCGTTTACGATTTTGTACAGATTTATAAAATCGTGCTAGATGCGAAATGTCAGGCTCTAATTTTTATAGTTAATTTTTTAATTTAGCAAAATAGTTTCTATAGAACAATGTGCTTGCTTTATTTCTTCATCGTGTATTTCTTATCTTTGGCAATTGATGAAGAACGCTAGAGAAAATATGATTCTCTTGAACAGTATCGTTTAATCCTGCTTTATTACTTATAGTTCTTCATTTTTTTAAAGTTGTTCTTTTTTCAATTACTCCAGAAACTCTTTTAAATGTTTTTTATTAAATCAAAACCACATTGTTGTTCATAGAAACTATTTTGCTAAATTAAAAAATTAACTATAAAAATTAGAGCCTGACATTTCGCATCTAGCACGATTTTATAAATCTGTACAAAATCGTAAACGAGGGAGTATTCCCTTCAAGGACTGAGGATCGAATTAAAATTTTGCTTTTTTTTTCAAAGCCTCTTCCTTTTTTACGATATTTGTATGCGACAACTATTTATCATCTTTCGGCATTCTAAATGCCAGACGTACGTTGAAGACAGTATAAAAATTGATTTCGTTTCGTTGAAATTCGTGCACGAATGTGTTTGTTCGCGTTGCATTGAAAAGAAACGTATAATATTTTCTCTTTTTCCATCAAAGTTTTCAATTTTTCTTTTCTTTTTATTATTACTTCTTGTGTGTGAATGATGCGCATGGTGATACTGATAATGTCAAACCCGATCGTATCTAAAATATTTGAGTAGCTAACAGAATTCTATAGAGAAATCCTCAGCAGATGATATTGCTTAGGAATTTTTATTTTCAGATTTTTTGTCAAATTCTGATACGTTTTTTCAGAATTTGTCAAGATCCAGTGTTTAAATCAATCACTCGATATAAATAGTTCAAAAATAATCTTTTTTTAAATCTTCATGTTATTGGACAATGGTGGATATCACAGCATGAACTGAAAGGAACTCACATAATCTCTCTTTGAAAAACTGCGTCACAATTTCGAAAAGTTAACTTCAGTGATTTTTTATGGAAAATCTTACAAAGCATAGTTAATGATAAAAAATTTGGCACAATTAAAGTCTTTTTCATGTTATCGTATGTTTCTGTAAATGCGGTGGCGTAATTAGAGAGTAACAACGTTCGAGTTAGATATCGTACTTGACAATATGGTGAGATTTATCTTACTCTGCATTCATTTTATCATGATTAACCATTGCATTACATGTATTCATGTAGATACGGAGACCTTCATCTAATCAAATGGTGACGTACAAAACAACTGAATCTGTTGTATGCACCCTTAGCGCGCATATTCGCTGCTCTTTAAAAAATATGAATAATGTTGAAGATGTAAGTGTATTTTACGGCTTCGATAGGTGCATAAGCGTAAATATCATATGAGTATCAATATTTACAGGTAAATCCGTAGCTATATAAAATATGGTGTTCAAATTGCCTCCGAAGTATAGTGGGCCAATAGTTCAACCTTTTTAATAAGTTTAGGCTTTAGATCGTATACAAACAGTCTCTATGATCTACTTTTGAGACGATACTGCTATATCAATTATAGGTTTTGTAGAAGAAATCATTATTTTAATCGATTCGAGAAATGAAGAAGGATTTTACAAAAAATACTAAATAAAAACCGGATTTCAAGCCTTATCTAACCATACATGGAAGGCGTAATGACTTTCCCATCTTGAAATATGCCTTTTCATATCTGAGAAGACTTCAATAAATTTTCCACGGTTTAAAATTAAATTTTGTGCATATTCAAAAGTGATACTTTTTAAATTTTCAAAATTTTCAATAATAAATTTAACTTCGTCACTATTTTGCACCCGAATATTTAAATGTTTTATATTTGGAGTTATCATTGAATATACTGTTTCTACAGTTGATGCAAAATTATCTGCACTCCAAAAGTCATGTAAAGATAACACATAAATATTAGGAGAACATTTGAGTAACTGATTAATACTATGAACAATAATTGGAGTATATTCATCAATGAATCTAATTGATAATGAAAGTTTCTCAATATGTGATAGGTCGATTATTGTCGAAAAAAATCTAAATGCATCGTCTGGCCATCCACCATTCGTAGCTATGGTAAGTTCAGTAACATTTCGAAATAGTAAATGATATACTTTTTCTATTTCATCAACATTAATAAATTCAGTTAAATGTAAATGTAATTCTTTCACATTATCCATCATCATCGAATAATTATTCGTTACAGTAAAGTTCTTAGCAGAAACTTTCCTAGTATCCGTATTATAATATACAAAATGCTCGGTACAGAATGGTAATGAATAAAGTAAAAGTTTATGCGAACAAATAATATAATCACATGTAACCAAACAATGCTTTTCATCTAGCCAAAATGATGTTCGAAACGAAGAAATCATTTCTTCGACGGTACTTGTATCGAAGTTAACATGAGTGAAAGCCGAGATTAAAAAATCAAATTTTTCTAATAATGGAAGCTTATTTTTAATCAATTGCTCCCACCGATAACCATCAAATGTAGAACAGAATAAATTTCCACAACCGATCAATTTCAGATAAACAAGCGCAGGTGTTAATGTAAGACATTGTTCAAGTTTATTTATTTGTATACGACCATCTTCACATGTTAATGATTTTATTTGTAAAAATGGTGCATGATTAAAACACGGGAGAATTTTTTCACTTGTATCATCAACATTAAAATCTTTTAAAACGATGGTTCGCAAACAAGGAGAATGTCGGAGAATAGTATAGAATTGATCGCACGTTATACTGTTCTTGATTCTAAGATAGCTGATAGTAAGATTAAGAGGCCATTGAAGTTCTTTCATATCTTTAGGCCGCATACTCAAGTTAAGTGTTTGCAGCGAACAATGTTCTATAGTTGATGATATAAGATTCAATGCAGTATTTTCTTCATGTATACTTATTGTTTGACAATCGATAGACAGAAATAATAACGAGGAATGAATAGCATAATTCAAAAATAATTTTAAATCATGAGTTTCTATTTGAATAAGTGTTAATGAACGAAGCCGAATGAACTGATTGATATTGAATAATGAATTAAATAAATCTATTTGACCATGAGTGTCATCTTTATCGGATAATGTTAAAGAAACAACTTGCTCAAAAGGTATTATACGGCACATATGAAGAAATTTTGTTTTCGATATTGACTCAAAATTGAAATCATAATAATTATATGAATTACCAATTGAATGAAATCGTTTACAAGCAAAGCGAAATGAAAATAGAATTGTTTGAGTATTGAGATTATCGAGAATATGATGAAGAATTTCAACTGGTAATGTATCAAGATATGAGATGTGCAAAGCCATTTAATTTAGAAGAAGAAAATATAACTCTTTTGTTAAGAGTGATATTCTTTGAATTGAATCTATTAAGAAAACAAAATAGACAGCAATGACATAGAAGCGCTATCAGTATTAGAGCAATTTTTATTGCTTGTAATATTGAATGGAATGGACCAATCGAAAGCAGAAAGAAAATATGACTGCCCTTCCTTCCTTCGCGCAGCGCACATCTCAATCAATGAGTCATAAACAACTGATTGAATGCGCATTTATTTTGGTTTTTCTAGAAATATTTAGGTAAGCTTTCACTTAATCACCTTGAACATATTTTCTATTAAAAATCAGCGCCTAGATTTATTGTACAGACGATGGCGGCGATGAATTTCAATATTAGATAGTTGCTGAATAAAACCGTTCGCCATAAGGGAATGTCACACGAAACTCGTACACTAACATGGATTTAAAAAAAGATGTTCAGAGTTGTAAAACATGAGAACTAATATTAACAATTAGACAGTATCTTCGTATAAATATTCTAATGAAAACTACCATTTGTTTTTAATTGTATCATTGCGTAGTGTTGAATTATCTCTTTCTCTTGTTGTTGACTGATTGAAGATAATAAATAGAAGTAGATGAGTGAACTATTCAATAGAGTTATATATTATATACAAATGTCTATGTTACAGAGATGGGCAAGTCAAGTCAAAAAATGACTTGACTTGATGATTTTTTTGAATGGATTATGACTTGACTTGATGATTTTTTTGAATGGATTATGACTTGACTTGATGATTTTTTTGAATGGATTATGACTTGACTTGACTTGACTTGTAAACACTCATGACTTGACTTGACTTGTAAACACTCATGACTTGACTTGACTTGACTTGATTCAAGTCAGTGATGGGTCATGACTTGACTTGACTTGCAACAAGTCGTACAGAGAAATTCAAGTCAAGTCAAAAATTATATGTATAGAGAACTTTTATTAATTGAATTTTTGAACTCTAATTTGAAATGTAGAAGAAAAATACAAATAATAAATCAAAGATGGGCAAGTCAAGTCGAAAAATGACTTCACCTGATGATTTTTTGAATGAATTATGACTCAAATTGACTTGACTTAAAATCAGACTTGACTTGACTTGAAAAAGTGCTCGCCTTGACTTGACTTGACTTGAAAATATTTTGAACTACTCATGACTTGACTTGACTTGACTTGAGTCGAAAAAACGCTGACTTGCCCATCTCTGCTATGTTATATAAAATCATGAAGCTCGTGAAGAAATTCATCATATGAAAAACTCAGATTTTAATCCGCTGCAATAATAGATAGAATAGTAGAAATTGATGTCGGAGAGAACTACTTGAGAGACATTAAAATTTCAGATAGTTACTATCAGTACGCCTGTCATTTAGCTTCAGTGTATGTGAGACTGATTTAATCACTTTTTGAACAAAATAAAATAAATATTTTCTTCATTGTGTTATATGAAGAGATTCACCTGTAAAATTATTTCGACTATGTATGAGTAAAACAACAATAATATTACAATCGAATAACTAATTTTATTCTCGATTAACATTAAATCGACTTTCAGTAGTCCGATGATGTTACTCAGAAAGAACTGAAACACTATATTTTTCATTTGTACTGTGTAATAGTTAATTTTACTCATACATATCTTATCTATACGTACATCGTATTTTTAGAGCAAAGAATGAAAAACACTACTGTTGAAAGACACGATACTGATCTGTATGATCATGATAAGTTGCCCACATCGAATGACGTTCGAACAGAAACGAGTCTTATCAAAAATCAAAACAAAAAAATACCTTTCAATGCAACAGCAATAGCGGCGTAAATATTTATTAAGAATAATTTGAAGTAAAAACACAACTCACCAATTTTATGTTTCTAAAGAACTGGTATAACATCATGGCGTATTCCACGCCTGTTACTCAATTTCATATCTGTTTCTCCACATATGCTTACGCATGCCGAAGAACAACTGTATCACGGTAATTATACGATATAATCAATTTACGTCAGAAATGATTTTCATATGTAGGTTTGAAAAATAAATATACCGGTGAATATATACATATAAGGTAGATTGAAATTCAGACTGAATATTCATTAGATATTTTCTTCTAGAGGTGATAATGCAATTTGGACTGTACGAAGTTTATGCTCACCGGATAATGCAACTCCCATAGTACTTATTCATGACTTTGGTTGTGCTAGTGGAATATGGATAGAAAATATCGATTTTTTAAGTAAACGTCATCCAATTTATATGTTTGATATACTTGGTTTTGGTCGTTCATCAAGACCTAATTTCGATCAAACAAATTCTATCAATGCTGAAACAAAGTTTATTGAATCAATTGAAGATTGGCGTATAGCTGTTGGTCTACAAGAAAAATTCTTTCTGATTGGACATGGTTTTGGTGCTTATTTAGCTACATTGTATACTATTAGATATGGATTGTTTATTAAAAAATTAATTCTCCTTGATCCTTGGGGTTTTAATCCGAAACCAGATGAATATCAATTACATTTAACTACACCATTTTGGATTAAACTTCTGGCATATTTTACAGAATCATGGACATCATTTTCAGCATTCCGATATCTTGGACCATTAGGTAAATTATTCACTCGGTGTATATGTGCTTTTTTTCTTGGCAGCGTAGCACACAGATTTGTTACATTATTTTCAAGAACAACAAAAACAAAAACGATCATGAAAGTAGACGCGATCGGAAATAGTCGAGTTTAATCTTCGTCCTATCCAACTGATATCTAGTTTATTATGTCTTTTCTTTGCATATTTCTAGGATTGCCATTATTAAAATTACTTGCACCACGTTGGAAACGTCTAGCACCGGTTGAAAATTCAAATAAAAAATCAGATACACTCTATGAATATTTATATCATGTTAATATACAACCAGCCAGGTAGATTTTCTTGTCTATAGTTATTGAAATTTTTGTTTACTTCTTTGAAGTGGTGATGTTGGCTTTCAAGCATTAGCATCATGGTATGGATGGGCTAAAGAACCGATCGTTCAAGTAGATCATTCTCGTATGGAAACTATTTCCGGTGAAATCCCCATTGTATTCATATATGGATCTCGTACACATATTGATAGTACACCAGCACAACAAATACTTCATCGGCGTGGTTCTTCAAATACATCTTTAAAAGTAGGAGGTAGAAAATAAATAGATTTCTGTACGTATTTATTCATTAGTTTAGATTATTCATAATGCTGCACATTTCTTTTTCATGGAAAGACCGATACAATTTCATGAAGTTATGATTGATATACTAAGTGATGTACCACAGGGATTTCATTCGTTAGCATCTAGAGATGATAGAATAACAACTACGATACTCCGAGAGTAAAATCCATATTTTTAGTCAGATGAATTATTTATGAACTTCTTTCTTTGCATTTTGCATTCTAATCATGTTTTTCGAATATGCGCAACAGTAGTTTGTTTTACACGTTAATTTTTAGATAGAAAAAAAAATGAAATCGTACCAATGAAAACTTATATAGAAGACTATGAAAACTTTGATGCCAATTCAATATATCCATCCAATGATATTGATCTAATGATATTCACATCGATGTGTGATCTTACTGGCATAGCAAAATCATTATTAGACAGTAAACCAAGTGAATTATCACAGTGGTTCGTAGTTTTAAAGAATACGCTTGTTAAATGGTCTTCTGTGCATTTTAGTAGTTGTTATATTGCATCGCCATCGCAAAGAAAGTGTCGAATAGCTTTTCGAAAGTGAGCAGTTTTTAATTCATTCTATCGGGTTCTTGATCACCAATGCATGCGTTTTCAAGATAGAAAGGAAAGAATTCGAATTAGTTATAAAGCTTGGTTAAAAAACAGGAGAAAAAGGTCATCTCTTTTATTTTAGCGTGATAATTTCAATATAACAAAGCAGTCAAAATTACATTATTACAGGTGAAAACAGAAATAATTTACTCTTATTACTTTTACAGATAGCAGCCGTTTGAATCTTTACTAAGTTCACTGATGAATTGTGAGTTAGAATCGATTTTGGATTGGCCCAGGTATCATCATCTTTGATAAATGATATTTAATTCCGACCGAAAGAAACACGTTTTTGGAATTTCTTCTTTTCAAATCATAGGAAAGTTTAGTGACTTCATTGATTTTGAGTTTTTAATCTCACATATTTCAGATAGTACAATTTGTATGCGTATAGACTGCAATGAACCAGAGGTGTCACCAGGCCAGCAAAAGAAATTTTTTTTGACTGTAGCCTCGCCTGATCCGTCCATATAATATTGAACCAGGTTAGCAGGCTATGCCAGCTCAAAGTTATTGACCTGATTCATGTGTTTTTTGATTAATTTACTATTAGATTGATACAAAAAGATCATACAAAAAAAAACTGGAATCAGGTCAATAACTCTGAGCTGGCATAGTCTGTTAACTTGGTTCAATATGATATGGACGGATCAGGCGAGGCTACAGTCAAAAAAAAATTCTTTTGCTAGCCTGCAGCCGGCCTAGGGGCATCTCTGCAATGAACTATAAATAGGATGAAAATGTTTAAGACGTTTTACTGTCCTTTTTAATATGGTATACCAAATTTACATAACGACACACTTTAATACGAAGAATTAAATAAAGAAAATTAGGCGAGCTTAACATTTATCTCAGTACAAAGTTTGTAGTTATCATTCAAAATCAGTTTTCTTCCCCTTACTTAGCTACATAAATTTGCGAGTTGTAAAGCAGTTCATCAGTTGGAAAATTTGCTTAGTCACAATTTATGGCTAAACATAGAAGCAAAGATCAAATCGGATAGAATTTTTTCCCTTATTTTATTTCAGTCGTTTTGCATGAACTAAAACGGGTCCTAAACAACTCGAACGTGCTGAAATGAGAATATTAGAAACATTCAAATCTCATTTTGGCGGTTGTTATGTACCTATTTTAAATGATACTCATAGAATATGGACAATATGTTCAAATATGGCTTCAACTAATATTCCTATTATTTTCGTTCATGGTTCTGATGGTGGTGTTGGTATATGGAGTTTAGATATTGACCAATTGTATTCAGATCGATCTGTCTATGCTATTGATTTGCCAGGTGGTGCACGTAGTACTCGACCAATATTTAGTCTTGATTCAAAGGAAGCTGAAAAACAAATGTTTGGCATGATCGAAGAATGGATTACAACGTATACCAGGATGGTTAAGAACATTTTTACCAGTTATGATGAAACTTCACCGTTAACTGGACTTCGTGCTGTTGCACCATTAGGTAATTGAATTATATTCTCTAATATAATTTAAAAGCTATAGGAACAATAGTGTGATAAATTCCTAGACAGATATCATAGCAATACTCCATTTATGAAAGACAGGCTGATACATATATGGTAATTGAATAAAGTGATTGAGGATTTATCTAAATTTAGTACGAATAAGGTCATCTTATAGTGCTTATTTATATCCTATTTCAAATTAAAATCTCATAGAGATTCCACTAATACCTTTTATATTACAAACAGTTCATTATAATATTTTATTTGCGTAGGTGTTCCCGCTGTAAAATATTTTCGTGCTGATCTTCGTGAAAAATCTAGCAGACTCTTTGATGACGATCGAATATTAGTTCATATATATATATCATTGCAATGCTCAATTACCGACTGGTGAAGAAGCATTTCGAACTATTAGTGATTGCTTTGCATGCGCAAAAGGTTTACAAATCTATTTCACTATCGAATATTTTTACCATTGTGTTCTATTTTTATAATTAGAGCCCATTATTGAACGAATTCATTTATTAGATGAACAAATTCCAATATGTTTTCTTCACGGTGAACATAACAATCGAGTCATCTTTGATTATGCAATCTCGGCGTAGAAATGTTTTTGTTGAAACAATAAAAGACGCCGGACATCATGTAAATTCTTTTTAGAAATAATTTCATTCCTTTTTTTTAATGGAATTCTTTTTAGATCTATGCTGATTCACCTGAAGAATTTGAAATGTATTTAAAACGAATTTTATACAATCACTCAATCTGATATTTTTTATTTGTTTTTGTAATTAAATTTTCTATAATTATTTATTTTTAATAAACACATTTTTTTTATTATTATTTTATAACTTACCTTCTTACATCATTGAAATCAAAGATAATTAACCAACAAAATAATCAATAGAAGAAATTCAAAGTTGATCTTTAATTTTCTCTTAGTATTCAGATGTTATGCACATCTACGTGTCGCATTGACCTTCATGAGAACATTTTATATGGGCGTTTTGACGCGTTACAAATAAGAATTTAATGTTTTCATTGATAGGAGTGACATGTTCATAAAATATGACTTATTTTTAACAGAGGAGATATAAGAAAACAGGAGAAAGTGTCTATGATAAAAGTTCACTTGCTTGACGTCAAAGTGGACGCGGCGCCTAAGATAACTGATTTATTTGCTTAGTAAATAGACTTCAGTCATTCGTGTTCAATAAGGTAGTTAGTTATAGTCGGCGTTGAAAATTTTCTACTGTGCAGTTCATCTCCTCACATTTTCTCAGCATTAAAAACTAAGAATATTCTATAATTTAAAAATGTATAAAAGTGCTTTAGTCTAGAATTCAGCTTAAATTACTATTTTTGTTCTTCATTTTTTATGCTTTTCGTACATTGGTACGCGCTCAGGACTGTTAATTATATGTGGAGAGCTCATGATAATATAGAAGCTACGATCCCCTGCATACAATGCCATTTTTAGAAACAATACTCATTAGCAAATAGAAGGTAAGACTCATTTTTATACATTGCTTGGAGTGACATCATCATCATTTTTCGAATATCACTGTGACATATTTCTAGAGATGTTTCTTGGCATCATATTTACTTATGGTTACTTTTGTTTTTGCAATAAGTCATTTAAACAGTTGCTCGTATCTTGGCAGCTATAAAAAAAATTAAGATTGATTTAAAAGGTAAACGTACCCGACTGAGTATTTTGAGTATTCGTAAAAGATGTTGCATTTACTTACAGAACGCCGGATAGACTTTTTCACGACATTATTCATGTTAAAAGAATCTATCAATTATGTTGAAAATGCAAAGTATGAAGGAAATGCCATTAGAAAAATCATATAGGTTTATTATATCAACATTGACAAAGACAATTCAGTAAGCGATCAAGATTTTATGCAATTAGTAAGTAGAATACTTGATAGATTTTAAGAGAGGTAATGCTTTTTGGTTAATATAAATTTACTCTCGTTTATGTGAAATCTGAAAACATCGTGTAAAAACATTTTTTCCATACTGTTCATGATTCTAGTTTTATGCTCTTTGAGTAATCTCACACAAATGATAGTGTCACGCAGCAAAATGATGGTGAGATAAGAAAAATTCTTACACAAACTATATTCGCCAATCTCCATAGGAAACTAAAAGATCAATATATCTGTGTTTGAATTGGAATATAAAATAAGTAGAGTAATTTTCTAATAGTTTTAAGATAATGTTTATAGTATTGACTTCAATGTCTATAATTTTTCTTTGCAAATAATTAAGTCAAAATTGCTTGAGATTTATTGCTTTGATTGTTGAATGACACTATTAATATCCGCGATGCTATTATAGTCTATCATCAATATTTTATCAAAGCCTAGTGGCAGTACCATTCGCAAAGATTTAATGCGAATAATTGCATGCCATATGGGATCTCTTTTAGTTATATGTTTATTTATGAGGTTAACTATGTGACTTCTCTTTTTTCTTTTAACACACATAATGAGAGGATTGAAACATGCTCATGTTCAATATTCAATAGAGAATTACTCATCGGGGATCATTATAATTAGACACATAAGTAATTTCATCATAGAAGAGATGCAGTTTTCTTTTGTAATCAAGGCTGAAAGATCGTGTACTCAAGAGACCATAATGAAAATTCAGTTCAGATTAATCCATTGTGATAGAGAGTCATTCTTGTTCAAGGTGATGTACCATACGTATCATGGGCGAATAGAGTTGAATAATCCCAGTACATTGATGTGTAAAATTCACTCGATGGCCTTCGAAGATCATAAGTAATTGTGAGAAGAAATATTGCCATTGAAAGTTTTTTATCATAAAAGCCAAGAAGAATTAATTAATTGAAGTTATAACGTTGAAATATACAAAAAGTCAATTATTGAAAACGGTGATCAGATTATCATTGTTAGTCGATCATATTTATTTGCACGATTTAATCGGTTGACAAATATATATTAAATACAAGTTTCATTGACAAAAATGAAGACATTGACTTATGCCCATCACATATGACTCCTGTATCTAGACGCTTCTTTTCTGATGAATTCATCTGATTTTTTACTGAACGAAAAGCTCATTGGATTCTTATCTAGTTCATTATAAACTCTTTATCAAGTATGATGATTATTTTTTCTTTATCAATGAGTTTTTTTCCCAAAATTTATATAGTTCTGAGTTATGTTACTGGTGAATTGACCGTGAAAAATAAATAACAGCTTTTGGTATTGTAGTCTTTGTTTTATAATTTACATAGGGAATAACCTTGCTTTTCTTTCAATATGAATTTTTCCTTATCGTCAAACGTTAAACATTCTATTTTTGTTCATTTATTTTATACTTGTCAATGCAGACTGCTACGTATTCATTCTGAAGCTTAAAATTTTCATAGAGGAAAAGGAATATGTAGGCGTTGTAAGAGAGCAATTCGCCAATGTAAAACGCGTAGAAAATTATCACCCTAGTATTTATCTAGAAAATATAGCACATATATAAATATATCGATTGAGAAACATACAGGAGTGTTCTTCTCTTTAGACAAATACAGAGTAATATTTATTTTTTTTAAATTGCTATCGGCAATAATAATTAGTCTATTATAACACATTTTTTCCTCCTAAGTACGTAATTGAACATTTGAATACCTATTAATGAAAACAGCTGTTGTATCATGCATGCATACGATACTTAAATATATTTGAATATAAAATAGAACTAGATGAGATTTTATTAAATTTAGCGGAAAAACATATGTCTTTTTTCCGGTAAGTTTAACACTACATATTATTACTTCGCCGTCATAAATACACGGAGAACAAGAATTAGAGAAGTATTTTACATGATGCATATTATGTTATTTTGCATACATGATCGAATTCATTCTACCACGAAAAATAAATCTCTTGAAGATAAAATGAATATTTTCCTTTGTCATGAGAATGGTAGGCTTTTCGAGGAAAAGAACGTCATGTCATCGCTGACCACTATGCAGATTCAATTACCTTAACAACCAATGACTCACATAGAATAATGCTAATGTATTTCAACCATAGTTTTCGAAGGGGACGACTGTGCATTTTAAAAAGATGCGAAGTCTATTTTTCTTGTTCCTTCCAACATAATTAAAAAACATCCAAACGAGAAAGAATAAGTATCAAAAACAAAATCGCTGTCTACGCACTTTTTTTCGCTTCGAGTATGATGGCAACGCTTTTTTTGACTCTTTTATACACAAAATCAACATTGAATTTCGTTTAAAAACACACTGCAAGTAGTATTAACGATTTCATTTATTTTAGTTTTGGAAATGTCCTCAATCAACTCTGCATCACTTATTATATTCATCTACTGTATTCTATTTCAATTGTCTTTTATTGATTGTCGTCCTCACAACCAGAGACTACTTGTTCAAGGCCACCAATGGACAGTACCAGATGAGCCTGGTTGGGAAGATGGTAAGATGACAATTAATCAAACGATAATTTTGAACTTTCTTCCTATTTTTAGTTTTAAAAGAAGCTGAACCTGTTCGTTCTAAATTCTTGAGTAATTGCGCATCAAGTCGGGAATGTCGATTGGCTGTTGATTTATTACGAAAAATATTTTTAAAGCACAAAGTCTCTGCAAAATATTACGCCGAGTCAAATCGCAATGAAGCTGGACCTAGTGAGATGGATTCGATCTTTAAATGGGGCTAACTTCTGTGTTCGTTTTGTGCACTATTAATTTATGATAAAAAAAAACATGAAAATATCATATTTGTCTCATAGGCAATATTAATTCTTATAAGATTCAATATTTATCAAGAGTAAGACATTTCATAATCAAACAGTTAAGAAAATACCCATGTGTTAATTATTTTCAATAAAGTAAATCAGCCGCTAATTCATTGTTTTTATATTTTTATTATTAAATTACGATGAAACTCTTCTTTAAAACAAAATTCATTCGCTAAATTAGTTAAAATATGTAGAAACTTTATTACAATAGTATCTTTTCAAAAGCGATTATATCTATAGAAATGAATATGAGATTTTTCTCATTCAATCTAAATTAGCAAACATGAGTTCAATCTGTCGTTGTGTTTAGTATGTATTCTAAGATGTTTAATTATAAAATCACTACCGGTGGGAAATGAATTATTTCCCCAGCATGAGAGTAGGCGTTTCTTGTATGTTATTTTGTCTCATTTAAAATTATAATCATATTGTTTTCATACGATGGATCAATAATCTTTACATATTCCTTATGGTAATAAATTGAAATTCAAAACATTGTAATCTTATATTAACTACGAATGATTGAATGTCTAATTGCACGGAAATATGTAACTGCAGACCAGAAAAGAAATAGTTTATTAGTGTTTTTATCTTTTAGCTATTTATTTGATAAGGTCATTCTGTATGCTGCGTGACTGAAAGAGTTCAAAATTTACTGGTGAGAAAAATAGATATGAAGAATGCTTATTACATAGATATATATTCATTGTTTCTGATGCAATCATGAATAGGCAATATAATGAGAGTGATCAAGATAAGTAAATAATAGTTCCAGATATATTTCTGCAAAATACAAAAAAACAAATTGTTTTGAAAATAATTGAGAAAGATACCATAGGAGGCAAAAATAATAACATGATGTTTCTTGTCCTTGAATTGCCATTTTTGTTCGCAATTCAAATTCAAGCAGTATACAGGATTGTTTATTTTAATGGATTTTAAGCTTTGCAACCAAGAAAAATATGTTGACTACTCAAACAGTTTTATGAATCAGTTAATTGGTTTTGCTGATTTCGTACGTACAAAATAAACACATGAATGACTGTTGAAAATCTTGTTAAAATCAAATAGATTTCTAACCATACATCTACTTTTATTTGAAAGCATTGCTATTTTTGCTCTTTGTATTATCTTTTATTGATATACCGATCTACAGACGTTAATTTCCTGAAAATAAATGAGATAAACATCATGTTTGACGTTTGTAATCAAACGTAGAGTATAATAGTATTTAATACACTAGAAAAAGAGACAGTCGAGTTGTTAGATTTTTTCAAGGCTAAAACTAACTGTTGTGAATAACACCGATCGATCTTAATCGTATGAGAAACGTCTCGAAGAAAGCCTTTTGGGGATACACTCTGGCTTGTGTTCAGACGAATAGATTACGATCAATCTACTTATAAGATAAAACAGGAGTGTATCTATAAAAATAGAAAGATATAACAAAAAGAATATTTGTGTGTATATTTAACCTGATCATTTACCTCTATTATTTTAGACTAAGCCATATATATGTCTAATAAACCCTATTAAATTTGTTTTGTATTAAAAGAAGATGTCAAAGAGATCTGCACTCTTTTAGCGTAGGTCGTTTGAACTCTGTGATTTATTGGGTCACTCAAAAAACATTATGACTCGACAAAATATAAACAGGAAAATTTTATTTCTAATTCAAAGCTCTGAAAGTTCAGCATTCTACTCTACTAAAAAACCTTTTTTCATGGGAAATCAGAACGAGATATCTACAAATACGTACTACAACATGTGGTAGAATTGAGGCGACCTCTACTGTTTCTCTTTAAGTTTGATTGGATCTCTCTCTAGTCCTAGGCCAATATTTGTTGAACTCTTATGCTTGATGATTAATATTATATTATGCATCATTACATTTGTTACTAAAGTGACACCACACAATATAAGCGCACGTGTCTTTAGATTTAAATTTTGTTTTTGAACTGTTTTTTTTATGCATAAAGATTAGACACCTGCAAAGTGATCACGCGCGACCGTGACCAAGACTATTTTAGCAAAGAACGAAAAAATAAAAAGTCTTATTCATAATATAAGTGAAAAATTTTTAAATTAAAGCTTTTTATTATGTTTTGATTTAGTTTTAAATTTTAATTAAAATCAATAACAGGATCCATATATTTCTCATGGCTATAACCATGGCCGTGATCAAGTCGCTCGTGATCTTGACATGACCGTAACTAGAGATCGTGGTCACCCAGATCTCTAATGAGGATTTATCATAGAAAAAGCAATTTAATACGAGGTGTGCTTTGATTGAGAAGATTAATCGTTGCCAGCAGTTTTGAAAACAAAACGGTAAATTTTCTGGATCACTCTTCACATTATGAATTCTTCAATTTAACGAAGTGGTTGTTTGTATTGTTAACTAATTCACCTAGATAGAATGGAGTCCGCTTCAATTTTTCATAGAGTAATAAAAATATTGAAAATTTGACTGACACAAATATAGATACTCTAATGAGGGGACATTCACAAATGATACGCATAATTCAACCTCATACTTTGTCGATAGACTGGATTCAGTGGAAATTAAAACATACAGTGCCAAATCTTAAACTGTTACTAATTTTAGAATAAGCGTGTTAAAATTTTCTCAATTTCAAATTTTCAAAGCGCAAAAGTTTGAAAAATTCTGCGAATCTGAAATCGATAAAAATAACGAATTCGATTAGAAGCTATTACCCTATAATTTCAAATTCTCAGCAGATACCAAGCATCAGATATTTATCTACCATCTCTACTGAAATTAATCACAAGATTAGAATCAAGTATCTACTGTCGTCTCGATTAATTGCAGCATCCAACGTCAAATATCTAATGTTTTCTCTTCGCTTAATATAATATATTATAATAAAACTATAACATCGTTACAATTATGCAAACTTGAAATTTGTTTTTACTAACCCCTTGTTTGATTTAGATTAATTAAAAAAACGATTTTCTTTTTCACAAACACAATAAAGATTGCAATTATGAATTTTTTTTCACTTTTTTTAACAGGCCCTTTACTCAGATTAAATCATTAGAACGTGATTCGAATCATGAATATTTGAATTTTATTCTTTTACACGAAGTCCTAAGTACTCACAGACAACTTCAATTAGCCGTGGAATAATTAGATAATCATAACATATTTCTAATAACTGTACTCACCAAAATACAGAAGATCTTTACTAAAGAGTGCCTCTTTTGAAAATGACCCGGTAAAACTACTACAGTAAAACATTCCATAGTAGACACCACTGTACAGTGGATGGTTTTTCCCAGTCCCGTGTTGTGATTTTGGCTAGAATTAAACATCTCTCTATAGTAACACCCTTCTTTAGAGTTTGGTCAAAGTGTTACTGACCGCTGGTTAGCAATCAACGCTGCTGAACTACTTTAGATCGATTCTTACATTTCTGTTTGGTGGCACTCGCACATATTTTCGAAGAAAATAGTGAGTGTAAGTTGATGTGTAAGGTTTTTGCGGCTCTCCTGTACTCCCTGCCCATTACAGACATAAAACATGAAAAAAGTAACACTTTAGGTGCACTAATTAGATAACATTTTTGTACAGATCAATTGCCTATGTTCACCACTACTCGTATCAGTAATTAAAATCTAGTTCCACTAATTATATATCATTATAATTAGGGTTTAGTATCTAATTAATCTTCAAAATCTGTCGTTTTTATTATTATAGTCCATAGTTACGACTGTAGGGTATATTTTTACTATTACAGATGTTAGTAACAAGTGTAAGCTACCACATACGTTACAACGCAAGCGGGAAAAAGCGGATTTTTTGGGATTTTCAAAATCCCAAAATCCCAAAAAAAAACCCAAATCCCAAATCCGCCTTTTCCCCCTTGTTACAACGTCTATCTAATATATTCCTATTCTCCATGTAATCAGAGTTAGTTCGTCATAAATATTTCCCCCGATGCGTGATAGTTGCTCAAAGCATTTTCTCTTAGTTGGAGACCGCCCCTGAAAATATCTAAAACTAACGTGAGAGTAATCAGCGCTAACCTTCGAAGTTTCATCTTAGTCGACCGACAGTGACTTCATGCATACTTCCATGCCATTGAACCCACTGTAAATCGGCAATGGCATCCCTTTCGAAGAGTTTACTGGATTGTAGCAGCGGCTAGTCATGAGTGGCGCTGACGAACGACTAGCTACTGCTTTGCGAATTGGCTCGCTATCTTGTTCTCATGAATTCACTATAAGAAGAACGTTGCATCAGTCAATTCTGATGGGTAATACTTTTCTTTTTTTGGGAAGAGAACTACTCTGAAAGAAAAAAAGGAGTTCTGCAGAACCATTTTATGGTTCCGTAGCTCATGCGGAACCATTTTAAGTTCTGTATGACAATACGAAACTATCAATAGTTCTGCCCAACAGTACTGAACTTTTGAAGGTTTCGGGAACAGACTCAAAACCATAAAAAGTTCTATGTTGAAGAATACTGAACCGAGAGGGTTCTGCACAATGACACTGAACCTACTAAGATTCTGTGAAAAACTACCGAACCATAAAATGTTCTCTAGTCAAAAGCACGGAACCAGACAGGTTCTGTCCCATGATGCTGAACTCTGCAAGGTTCGGCAAAAGAATCCTGAACCATAAAAGGTTCAGTGTGCAATAATACTGAACCAGATATAGTTCTGGGTAAAGATGCGGAACCATCAAATGCTTTCTATCCAAAAGGGGAACTCAAAAGGTTCTTGTGGCGATTTTAGATAGAAGAGATGCCTGTGTTGATGGTATTACACTTTATTTAACTCTTCAAATCATAAATCGCATCGATTACATATAAAGCACACGCTTAAATACTCAACCATTTGAGAGAACGAAGAAGAAGGATAGATAAAGACAAATGTAAAGGACAGAAAGAT